GGCATAGCTCAGGTCCAAGAGACACAGACCTCCCAGCAGAGCCCTGGGCCTAGGCGGGGTCACATGAAGAAGCAGTGGCCATGGGGCCAGGGCCAGGAGTAGGGCAGGGGTCAATCTCCTTCGAACACACAGACACTCATGCTTTTGAGACAGGGAGAAGCTGGCAGCTGAAGCAGTCAGAGCCGGGGGCATTTATCAATGGCCCAATTCATTCTCAACAATCCCCATTGTCTGAGCCAGCACAGAATGGGCATTATCTCCCAGAGCCACTAGGAAGAAAAGCCCCAAGACATGGTCACTAATCAGAGCCCAAAGATTCAGAAGCCAAAATTGAGACATATGGTTTGAAAACCAGATGAAATATTTTAAATTGGAGATGTCCCTCCAAAACCCACGCAACACGGTTCTCATCCTTAGAGACTAAGAGAATGTTTAACTGTTGGTTGTTCATTTATTTATTCTGATCTCTTTCTACAGAGGAGGTAGGAATTTACAGTTAAAGATGTACATCCTATAAAGCTGTTACAGCAGAAATTAAAAGTCAAAGTCATGGTTCCAATGAATACAGTTACTAAAATGAAGCAACATGGTGAACAAAGAGTTTCCTAGGAGCCAGAGTAAGAAGAGAAACACAGAATAAGAAGGTTATACCATGAGCTCAGGAGTCACTCAGACTTGTAGAATCCCTTGAACACTCAATTTCCTTGTCAGAAAAAAAGGGGGACTATTAACCTAGTAAGGTTGTTGTGAAAAGTAAATGAAATAAAACATGTATTAAAGACTCAATAAAGGGTGCTTGTTATTACTACCATTTTTCTGTTGTCTGATTTCTCTTCTTTAAACTGGAACCATGTTAACATAGTGGGGTTGCCTTGATGTTCTATGATTCCGAATGGTTGCTCTAAAATTCTGATTGGCGGGTATATGTATTTGATGAATTTAAAAATACGAGGACAGTCTGGGGCAAAGTCACAGTGGATACCCCAGTTTTCCAGAGTCTTTTCCTGAGTCCTGAGGTGGTTGGGGGCCCCCACAAACAAGAAGGCTAGGGAAGGCAAGCACACTTCCTTCCCTCACCACCTTTACTCTGTAAAAGGCTGCCAGGCTGACCACAGCCTGCCCGTATTTAACCATCCCCAAGGGTCAGGTGGAGGATCAGGCCAAAGGAAGGCAGATTCCAGCACCTCCTTAGGAAATGGCTGAAACCCATCTACTCCCTTGCGTATCAGGGGAGTTGGTCGGGTGACAACTCAGGCACTCCTTAGACCAAATAATAAACACTAAGGAAGACGTAGTCAATATCACCTTTTAACTTCACAACTGAAGGGGTCCATTTAGTGAGGGCGTTTCACTGAAGCCTGTCCACGGGAGAATGGCCAGGATGGGAGAAGCTGAGAAGCCGTTAACAGCAGCAGCAGCAGCATCAGCAGCAGCTAGCTGATAGTTTGGGACACTGACTCTTCCAAGCACTTTAGCGTGTCCCCCGTAGTCCCCAGGGGGAGGAGGTCAGGGAGAACAAGATTTGGTCAAGAAAAGAAATAGCCACTAGGATGGAGCAAGGCAAAGGCTATCCCCTCCAGCCTCGGCTGCAGATGGGAGACTCAAAACAGGATTGACTAAAACCAAAGAGAAGGGAATCAGCCCAGCTCAGCTCCCTGTTCCTCCCTGTCAGATGATGCTCGAGCCCAGCCCACAGAAGCTGCTGCTTTTGTGCCGCACGGGGATTCCAGAGTATCAGCTAGAGCCCGGAGCAAGTTACAGGTGCTGAGCTCCGCCTCAGATTCCGATGCCAGACTGGCCCAGCTTGCCGTGCCACAAGTCTTTTCACTTCTAAGAGGGTAAGGCTACTCCAAGAGCAGCCTTAAGTCCAGATTAGACGGGACACTCTGAAGGCACTCTATCAACATCTTCCCAGACCCCCCAGCAGAAGCCCCTGACTTGAGATAATTCCTACTAAAGCCAGTTTCTTAGACTTGTCCAAGGTGCCATATGTAGGCTAAGGGAACTAAAGGGGACCTAAGAGGCTGAGAATGGGTCAAGCCAGGGGTGCATATTTGTGCATATGTAGATTTTACACTCAGAGGTGCCAGTTGCATACTTGTCACTGTCCTCAGGTGTATGTGTTGAAATATTTGCTTGGATGTCCTGAGACACAGTATGTGTGAGACTGGCGTGGGTGGCAAGAAGGTGTGCACACATGAGCAGATGTGAGCATGTGGGTGCAGGTGTCCTGTGAGTGTTTGTGAGTGGGCATGGTGGTGGGGTCTGCTCATTCCCTGGTCCTCCTGTCTCCTCCTGGCATCACAGTGGGGTCTCCCCCAAGCTGTCTTCCTTCCCTGGTCAGCAGGCTGAGCTTGCTCAGAACCCCATTCACTCCAGTGTTGGTGCTGAGCTCCTGTCCCGCTCAGAGTCCTGAGAAACCAAAGCTGCATGACCCACGGAGAAGACACCCCAACTGTGGACAAGTCAGGTCACCTTAGAAAGTGAGTACAGATAACACTCCTTTTCCGGCGGCCTCTGCCTTCATCAGCTCACTCACACACATCCAGCCATCCACACTTGCACTCGCTCAGCTCTGTGGAGCCTGCCTACCACACACACTTGAGTCTGCACTTCTGAGAGCACAGATTCAGTTCACGTGGGACAGCGTGTGCCCCTCCAACACACAAGCCACCTGTGGGCACACTTAAGTCCACCACACACACACTGACACACTGTCTCAGCCACGTTCACACCCTAAGACATATGCTAGAAAGTTCCACATGCTCACATACGGGCCCAGACACATTTCCTCCCACAGGTGCTCTTTCCCACTTACAAACACTCACACTGACACACTTAGACCTGCTACCCAAAGAGTCACAAGCATGCTCTGTCCCAGACTGGACTGGGCACAGAATCCATCCCCGGGAGCGCCTCTACTTACTCTGAGAGAGTGAGAGCCGGTGTGAGCAGCTGTGTGCAGCGGTCAGGCCAGCGGTGGCAGGCACAGCTGGGGCTCCTGAGGCTGTGAGCAAGTGGCCCGCTTGGCCGGCCCAG